AATGAAACAATACTATTGTTTTAAATAATATTTTTTAAAAGTTTCTCAAAATTTAGTAATTCGATTTGTTTAATTTGGATTTTCTTGAATTTTTTAATTTTTTTTTGTTTGGATTAATCATTATAACATTTTGTTAAAAATGTAAAAGTAATTATCACTGGTTCACTACTTTACATCAATATTCATCGCATATGGAATGTTGCATTGTTTCAATATCTATCAGCAAATTATCCAATGAACAACAAGTTATATAACTATTATTTGGTATCTGCTAGGTATGTTATAATATTCTGTGAACACTATGGGCTATCGCACACAAATTGACATAACTGCATATGCATAGCATAAGATCGTATGGACCAATGAGCATCGAATATTAAGCATCGAACACCAATATGGCGACTTAATACTCGATGCTCATTGGTACATACGGTCTTATGCTATGCATATGCAGTTATGTCAATTTGTGTGCGATAGCCCTTAGTATCGTCGAACCGTAAGGTCGCCATTTTTGTGAATACTCGATTGTAATTGGTCCATTTTTACAGTACGCTTACGTTACTGTTATGTCAATTCATGTGCGGCGCCCTTAAAGCCCATTCTACATTACTCGCAATCGCAAAATCGCAAAGAAATTGACCAATCATAATTGATTATTTTTCGATCGCAAGAAGAACAATCGACTATGATTAGTCAATTTCTTTGCGACCTTGTGATTTGCGACTAATGTAGAATGGGCTTTATGTCGTTATGCAAGAATGTATGCTTTCTGCTTAAATATCTTAAGCCCATTCTACAATTGCGTAAACGTAGTCGTGAACGTAAGAGTCAACCAATCCGAATGTTTTATTTACTGATTGCTTCATTCTGATTGGTGTCGTAATCACATACAACCACTTACACCACGTTCACGCAATTGTAGAATGGGCTTTACATTTTGTCTTTATATATGTATAATTTATCTACTGTTTCTCTTACTATTCGTTTTATAAACCGATTTTAACTTTTTTTTTTACAAAAGTAACGGAAAGTAACGATTTTTTTATCGTTACTTTTAAAATAACGGTAACACGTTACTTTTTAGAATCAGTAACGGATAACGGTAACGAGTTACTTTTTACCGCAAGTAACGGTAACGGTAACGCGTTACTTTTAAAAAGTAACGTTCCAACCCTGATATATATATATATATATATATATATATATATATATATAGAGAGAGAGAGAGAGAGAGAGAGAGAAAATGAATTGGGGCGTTGATGCTTCTAGGACCTGGCAACCCTGGCTTATGCGCGGTAGTAATTACAAATTCTAGAACAGCGAAGTTGTGAGAATCACGTTGTTGTAGAAATTCGACAATTTAGCGATGCCTATCGTACTGCTGTCGGAAGCGATCGCAGTAGAGCTGGAAGGTAAATTCGTTGGAATCACGATGCGTGGAATCGTGTATCACTCGGGGTAAATTCATTCACGATCGAGTCCTAACCTACATCTCAGTGAATACTGGGCGCGATTTCGCGATTAATAACGTAAATTCAAGTTGCCACGTTGAATCGAGAAATGTATGACTTCTGGTACGCGTCGCTTATCGATCATCTCATCTTGTAGCTCGCTGCACACGCGTCATTAATTTTGTTTTCGTATACATAAATATAGGTTATGATTATGTAACTGTTACGTTGAAGGACAATGCATAAACATGACTGCCGCTGTGCGTTGGTGCAGTGACAATTTCACTTTTTGTCACAGCTCAAGAATCATGGCCTCAGCAGATCACTTTGTACCAACCGTACGAGGTAGAACAGATTTTACTACCTGACAATGCAAATTGCCTGGCAGTACAGGCTTTTTTGAAAATGTGTCAACTCGAATTTGAGATAGAACCAAGGAAGAATGCGGAATTCATTTCGCCGTCTGGCCGTGTACCGTTTATTAAGTGCGGCGACAAATTAATACCCGAATTTGATGGTATAGTGACGTATTTAGGGAACAAGGGAAAAGACCTATCCAGTCATTTGGACCACGATGCCAAAGTGGATATGAGAGCATATGTATCTCTGGTGAACAATGTATTTGTAAATGCAGAACTATATATATGCTGGGTGGATGAAACTGTTTTGAATTCTGTCACAAAGCCCAGACATGGAAGTGTATATCCATGGCCGCTTAATCATTACTTGAATTGGCAAAAGAGAAAAGAGATTATCAAAAAGCTCAGTGTACTTGGTTGGTATAACAAAGGTTTAGATGAAGTATTTGATGATGTAAAGAAATGCTGCATCGCACTGTCAGAGAGGCTGGCCAATGAGGAGTTTTTCTTTGGGAAAGAGTAAGGCTCCTATATACTTTCATCAGTGCTTCTTCTTCTCTTAACTCATCTGTCCATTTAATCATATTTATATCCCAAAAGACCTACTGAAGTCGATGCCTTGGTATACGGACATATTTACACTCTCACATCACCCTCCTTTCCTGCAAACCGAGGAGTCATTGCCACAATTCGCCAGTTCCCAAGACTTATCGAGCACATGTTTAGAATCAAACATCGTTACTTTAGTTTTCGCCGAAGAGAGATCGCGGATGGCTTTGAAATAATTGAATCACCATCCAAGGATACCCTATGGGATAGTTTTCAGTCGCAGGCTGAGTCACTTCCTTCTCTTTCCGAGAATTCCTTTATATTTTCGATAAATTAACAAATTGCGCACGTACACAGCATTTAAGTAATTATATACCGTTTGTACAGTATATTAACTAAAGTTTAAAGGCACGATACATACAGGGTGTTCATTATGATAATACTCATTACTTTTTTACTAGTTACAATGGATAGGAAAAAAATTGTAGATGCAATTAATCAGTTTTCGAATGGGCTTGCTGACGATTTTAATTACATGTAACTTTACGTTTAACAGACCTAACGAGTTGGACGCTTTGGTGTTCGGTCACATATTCACGATAATCACAACGCCGTTACCCAACAACGAGCTGGCTAGGATCGTAAAGAGCTATCCGAAGCTCGTCAATCTCTGTAAACGCATCGAGACTAGGTATTTCCGGCGTACAGAAGACTAGGTAGAACCTTACTCGGACTTCGGATATGTCGAATTGCGCTATACCGATCACATTCATTGTAAATTGAGGTTCCTCTGCTTTGCGGCTGATGCGACGAAAGATAACAACATCAAAGAAAATCTTTGTAGTGTTCAATAATTCACTATATTGTTATCGGATAAATTAACAGTTTGTCATTAATAAAAATGGTGCCTATCAAATTGAATCTTGTTTTCTTCAGCTGCAAGATATATCTGAAGTGCGAGTAATATGGAAGCATGACATGTAGTATATTTAGGACCAGTTGTTCTAATTTCTTAGCAAGTTAACTGATAGTTAAATCATATGTCTGTCATTGTTTTTTTCAACTTAGATAAAGACAGATATATAATTCAATTATTAGTTAAATTATCAAGAAATTGGAACAACCGGCCCCTAATAATGTTATTATTTAGTTATATTATAAAATCTGTTATATAATGTGTCTGACGCAATTCGCATATCCGCTCGTGCGCGCATGTAGAACTCGTCCAACAAAACATAAGTCCTCTACCATTTTGCAAATAATTATGCAAAATATAGATTCATTAATTAATGAAGTTTAATGAATGATCATCCGTGATATGGTGCGGGATATGATGGTAAGTATCCGTGTAACATAAGAAGTTAAGATTGGTGAGTAATTACGCACAATTCGCTAATTTAATACTCCTTGTATCTCGCCGGTTATGTCCGATTTACGACGTCAAAAGCGAGGAATGAAAGACATATACTGGCGAAAATTGTGTGCCATTTTTTAATAAAGCTAAATATGGACGAAAAAGCATTTGAGATCGCTTGAATACACTTATAAAATTGTTCGAAAGGTACCTCTTCCCTCTAATAATCAATAAATAGTGAAATGACGAAATGAATCTGTATTTTGTCTACGTGCTTTATTTCACCATTTAGTATACGACTATTTATTAATCAGGGGAAAGGGATATCTTTCAGACAATTTTACGAGCGTGCTCAAGCTATCTCAAACCCTCTTTCGTCCATATTTATCTTTATTCAGAAATAGTACGCAATTTTCGTCAGTATGTGTCATTTCTCGCTTCTGGCATCACAAATTCGGTGATGTATAAGGAGCTTTAATTAATAATGTACGTGATTATTTGCAAAATGATAGGTTTTTTCCATCAGTTTGATCTAATGTATAACTTAACAGTTTTTAGCATATTTTACAATTATATTTGAGCGATCTGAAATGTTCCTTTTCATACAAATCTATTTTTATTTGTAAATTGCATGTAAGAATTTTGGGCACGTTTTCTCGCTTCTGATGTTATTAATCAAGAATTCCGCAGCAAGGGAACAGAATTAATTAATAACTCAAAATTTTATATGATTTATAAAATGGAGAGGGCTGTTGTATATATATTTAGTTTGCCGAGTTCTACCTGCACATGAGTGAATGTATAAGTTGAGCAAGACACCTTGTATATGCACAAAAGAGCTCTATATATATATTAACATATATATGCAGAGGAAAGAGCTTAGAATGGGAGGATTCTCTTTCGAGGTCCTACTGTATTTATTTATATATACATATATATACACATATATATGCAAATATATGTATATAACATATGTGTGTGTATACATATATATGTATCTATGTTGATCATTCCATAATATTTATTTTATTTTTTCTTCTGTATAAATGCATAATTTTGGAATCAGTCATTTAGTTCATTCTAAGCGCATAATATTGCACGTAACATTTTTCAGAATTTTTTCTCCTCAAGCTATACAGAATCAAATAATTAATGAAACGCTGGAGCTCAAGAATTAAGCCAATGATCCAACTAAGGATTTGATTTAGAAAAAAATGGTGACTTTCTTCTAAATTCAAATTCTAAATGTCAAGCAAACTATGCCAAAAGAAATTGAACTACAGAATCTTGAAGATTTTCATAAAGTGTATCATCGATTATACTGAATTAATGTATTCGTCGTGTTACTTTTATATATATATATATATATATATATATATATATATATATATATATATATATATAAGTGTGTATATATATAGGGTCCGCCACTTAAATCCGGACATAAACATTTTTTCTCGAAAAAGTCATTTATTACAAAAAATATGTAAAAGTACAAAGATTATCTTATAGTTAAGTTAAGGCATTTTTTCTGAGTTTTTCACTCAATGTAGCCGCCCTACGTCTCGATCCTGTTCCGAAAGCGCGAGCATGCCGTCTGCAATTGCGCCCGGTCCATTTTCGTGAATGCCGCTTCAATAGCGGCCTGGAGGAAGGTCACATTAGAATGTCTGGCTTTGTTAGTAACCCTCTCGACTACGCCCCACACGTAATAGTCGAGAGGGTTCAGATCAGGACTATTCAGAGGCTAGAAATCCTTCGACCAAAACATCTCGACATTGTCCGAGAGCCAGTTCTGCACTAAGTGAGTCGTATGAGTAGGTGCACCGTCTTGTTAAAAAAATGCGGTGGTATGACGTCGTCCTCACTCGAGACGACGCTTAGGATGTGGACACTGGCTGGAAACTTGGTCCTGGCCACCTCCGCGTATCTCTGGACAATGTCATACACCGTCGACCTGGGGTATCCGAAGAACTTGATTATTTCGCTTGGTGTCCTTCCGGTGCGGACACCTTCAATAATCGCCGCTGTTCGGTTATATTCCGATGTCGATCTGAACGACTCGGCCATTACTCGAAGTTATTAACGTCTTACCCATGTCTCTGGCCTGCCTTTACGCTACCTGGCACCTACTGCTGCATTCTAATATAGCGGGAATATCAAATTCAAATTTGTCCGGATTTAAGCGGACCCTGTATATGATATATATATATATATATATATATATATATATATATATATATATATATATATATATAAAAGTGTGTATATATATAGGGTCCGCCACTTAAATCCGGACATAAACATTTTTTCTCGAAAAAGTCATTTATTACAAAAAATATGTAAAAGTACAAAGATTATCTTATAGTTAAGTTAAGGCATTTTTTCTGAGTTTTTCACTCAATGTAGCCGCCCTACGTCTCGATCCTGTTCCGAAAGCGCGAGCATGCCGTCTGCAATTGCGCCCGGTCCATTTTCGTGAATGCCGCTTCAATAGCGGCCTGGAGGAAGGTCACATTAGAATGTCTGGCTTTGTTAGTAACCCTCTCGACTACGCCCCACACGTAATAGTCGAGAGGGTTCAGATCAGGACTATTCAGAGGCTAGAAATCCTTCGACCAAAACATCTCGACATTGTCCGAGAGCCAGTTCTGCACTAAGTGAGTCGTATGAGTAGGTGCACCGTCTTGTTAAAAAAATGCGGTGGTATGACGTCGTCCTCACTCGAGACGACGCTTAGGATGTGGACACTGGCTGGAAACTTGGTCCTGGCCAC